TATTCATGAAACTGATACATAAACACTGAAGTTTTGCGTTGTTCACGTCGGCCAGCTTTATCAACGAAAATTGCAACTGAGGAAACAATACTGAGGTTCACTGATATTCAGATTTAACAAACCAAAATAAGTGAATATGGGGGAAATTTCTCAGCAGATTAAAACTACCTACATCTTTAGCTAGAGAATATACGAGCACAAGTTCGTACACATGGTTGCGTGTGCGAACAATGCACGACTGGTGATGATCGCGAAGACAGCTGTGCCATGTGTATGAGGGAGAGAGAAGGCAACTAATTAATTTTTGCCTTAAAAATAGGCAGCACACTTGTTAAAAAACAATGACTGGACGTTCGAGAAAAGAAGCCGTTCTTTTTCTGTTCATTTCGCTCGAAACCAGACCTTCTTAAGTGCATTAATTCAGTTGGCATATCGGCACTTCCTGAATCAGCGTCGCTGTAAGAACTATCACGGGTGAAAAATACTTAAAACGGAACGCACTTGACCTTGCGTCACCCATGAGCCGAAAACTCGAAAACGTCACCATGTTTCTCTGCTGCTCTAATTAAGTAGTTGTTTAAGAACGACCACAGTGCGTTCTATTTTGTTTTTAAATTAATTCGCTTTAACATACGCAACCGAAGGGACTAGAATCTTGTTTTACAGCTGACGATATTTTCGCATTTCACCACATACGTAAAGTAGCAATAAACTGACGAGTCTTGAAGTACTCGAGAAGAAAGAATTATGGCTGAGATAGCTGAAGCTACCTTTTCAGTGAGAAGAACAATGTTCTGCACATAAATTACTATCTGGAGTAACTCTCATTCATTCATTACACATCAAATGAAGGTGACTGTCTTGTCAAGGCTCACGGAAACACACATGCTTGATAGTAGAATTCCTATTTTCAAGGTAAAACTGCCTACAATAGTATTTTGAGTATAGAAACAAACAGTGGCCGGTCAAATGTGCTCATTTTATTCTCAGTACGGCAAAAAAACACACGAACAATGCGTGGATATGTAAATTAAATTCAAATAACCACTACAGCGGTTCCAGTAACTATGAACAGACAGTTGGTAGTGTTTATTATAACTGCATAAGTGGACCCCGAGGGCAGCCAGCGTAGTATGGCGGTAACATCGGTAATTAGTAATAAAGGCTAACGACTGTATGTTTTTTTGTGCATAGAACTTTAAAATGACAATTTACAACATTGTGATGATGTAGACACAGAGAACACGGAGGCAAGAAATCATTTAAATTTAATTTACATAAAGTTTAAAATAATTAATGGTTCTGTGTTCGTTACCAAATCGATAGAGCTGTAGTCGATTGGTCCCACGTAGCTGAACAAGACGAAAGAATGGAAGCAGAAACATCATTTGGTAAACTGGCTAACGATACGAAGACAAAAACAAATCTTTATTTAACAAAGATCGACTTTTCCAAGGGTACTCATTATCCATTATCAGGAAATGTGTCAAAAAATACCTAAGTGCCATGGTACATGGGAATAACAAAGACCATGCGATGTAATTTCCATACGCTGACAGGTGCTACTTCCGGAATAAGTCATTTCCGGCTCACGACACTGAAACAGAGCTCAAAATGCCGGACCATAAGCTCAAGCAGAGTAAAGTGAAAACAATAATCTCACTACAAAACTTCAACGGAAAGGAACAGCGAAAAGATTCTAACTTTCTTTATGCTAAGTTCATATATAACTGTTCAATAAGCACCGACAGTTGATGGCACATAAATTCAGTATGCACGAACATGCAAGATTTAATATTAGCTACATATCGCATATTAGTATGGTGATAAATTGTTAACATTTTATCTAATGTGCAAGCATAATGATAAAGGTGCTAGATCACACAAAAACAGAATTTCATGTAGTTTGTGCAGAGTGATTAATATTACAATTCGTTCGTAGCTAAACATTAATTATTCGAGAAAGTTACAAAGCTGGCAACAAGCGAAAAGGTGAAGAAAACAGCTGTTGAAAGTTCGGTCATGGAATCGGACCGTGAAGACAAAGTTACATCAAATTATTCTGGTAAAAGACGGATCTATTCACGGAAATTGGTAAAATAAACCGAACTTAGTCAGCATATATGACGTGCGAGGCAGTGATAACCAGGCAGTTAAACCAACAACTTCGGCTGAGACCATTCACACCTAATTTCGTTGTCATCGATGCAATCAAGCTAATTAGGCAGCAGTATTCAGTTGAGCGAGAACGGCGAGACCGCAACAGAGAAAAGCGATGGAATTCGCGGTAACGACAGAAACAACGCTAAGCCGGAAACGTAGCGAGGTCAAGGTGGGGAGGAAAGCTAAGTATGTCACAAACCGATCTCAAAAACTGGAGAATCCAAATGAATATTTTCTGCTTTGCATTTTTTAAAACTAATTTAAAAAATGCAAGTAGAAAAGAATGGGCAGATCTTTTGGGCCTTGGTGCTGGAGCGACTTCCGATGACCGTGGCCACTGGACAAAGCTCAAAAGCTATGCCTTGAGAGAAACAGCAAGCTATTAAACTGATTATGATGTAGAAAGAATAAACAAAAAGTTTAGCGACATCTGATCGACATCGAACAGATCGAATATGTAGTGGCTTAGCAATCCAGCTGGAGGAAACAACGAATGAATTCATCGTACTCATCATCAGCCCTGTTCGAATTATCGTTGGAAGGCCTATCATCAGACTTTGCCATAAACTTCTGTTTTCTGTTATCCAATGAATCTCTTCAGCTAGTGACTGATTTGTTTCACGTTAATTTTAGCCTAAATATATGCGAGCTGTGGGGCCGCTAAAATTCAATCTATCATCTAACGACCAAATTAGTGGATTGTATGCCGACGTCTACTACGATGGAGTAGTACATTTCAGTACTGCTGCAAACCTGGGCCTTGACAGACCATAACACTTCAAATAAATAAGTTTAACTGACTAAGCCGACCTCTCTGTCGCGTGTGCGTGAAGTGACATATTAAGGTTGCACATGTACATCGCTAACGTTCCCATCTGTTGTCTTCATAATCTCTAGCAGTTTGCATAAAAAGAACGTGTTTGCTTGTGATATTAGCGACATCCGCAAATAATCGTCATCTGTGTTATAACTTGACAGATTCTGAATGATAGTGGCTTTCGTCCTTTTCATAAATTCCGTTTTAACATGGCCTTATGAATCTCGATCAACTGTGTATATGCAGCTATAATTTTCCATGTTTAAACTAAGCGCTGGTAAAAGGGCAACTGGGTTCCGCATTCATAAAACATAATTACAATTATACGGTTTTCTTCAGCCGCACCACAGCCGTAAAGCTTGGCGATTACACAAATATTCAGTGCTAAAGAACGGAATGAAAGGATGTAGCACGATCTCCATGCACTACAAACTAACAGACGGATCTTGTGAGACAGCTCGCTACAGTATAAAGCATCATGGCAGTCAGTCTGAAGCCAGTCTGCAACATACATCCTTGAAGACCGCAATCATTTGGCACGATATGTAAGCGGTATTGTGCTGCCGCCGCCTGTGACGCGACCCGCAAGGATAAGTGGTCATTTAAACGGACTGAGAGTCAGCGGCAGGTCTTGGGCACCAAATGGACGGATTTCATCCGCAATGCAAAAGTGAACAATCGATCTAGCTCAGAGCACGTACAGGTAACATTACTTCAGAAAACAACAGCATTATCTACAATGTAGAATACATAGCAGAAGCAAAGCCATTGTACAGATGCGAAGCGTAGACGAAACTGCCCCCCTCCCCACAATCCAGATGGAAACGAGAGGGCGATCATACATGCGAACAACAATAGCGGTCAGCAAAGCCGATAAAGCAGTTTTGGACTCAAAAACCGCTTAACACTGCAATGATCTGCCTTCGTGCCTACGAAATCTTCACTTGGTGTTAATTTATGCTAAGCCATATGCCACGTACGCATCTACAAGGAAACGCCTATGATGTACAAATACTGTCAATCGTAACAATTAAACTCTCTAGCTGGCACGAAGAAACGAAGTAGTTATGCTCTGACTGTTTTTATATTGTTATGCGAAGTGCAGCGAGCATCCGTAAGCACGACTGGACCCAGGTTATTAGCTGCAGGAGATTCTGCAGCTACTATGGTAGATATGAATTTCGCTAACATTAAGGAACTTTATTTTCACTCATTCATTTTCAAAGTCAGATATTCCTTTTTGGTTGAGGGCATAATCATCATAATTTATTCCTTCAGGCAGCTAGAAGGCCTTTCCAATGGTCGCAGGTTCGGATCCGCTAAAACGTCAAGCTCAGTGCTCTAGATTCTGAAACGCGACAGGGTCAGGTCTTCTGTACAATGGATCCATTAGGTTCGCTGACTGCACCTGGGCAGTCTTCTTTATAGCCTTATTGAGAGAGTCTCAAAACGACGTTTCATGACCTGTCCAAATGAGCAGCAGATTTTTCATACTCTTGTTGCAAAACATGTTTTCTGGGCCACAAAAGCGACTTTTCCTTAACACAGTGATTCGCTTAGGATGAAGGCAAAGAATTTCAGACCTCTAACAAAAATTTTAAAAATTGCAGAGCAGAATCTTGTCAAAACGCCAGCGTTGCCTGTTTTTGCTCCTTTACCCTACTTTACAACTCTGCAGCAAATTATTAAACGCTTTACAGTTGTTTTCGCCATCTGATTTGACGCCCTTTAGGCAAGGTTAAGACAAGGCTTGGTAAACGACGTGGAGATAACCGTGCAAAAAGGAGTGTAAGAACGGATGACGGATGTCAACGACATCACACGACACAATTACGAGGCTTTTGCGCCTGCTTCTGCGCAAAGAAGCATTGACAACTGTGTGGCGACTGACTTGTGGTCGACAAGGAACAAACATCAGTGATCATGCATGAAGGTCCGTGGTCAGTGCGGCAGTGGGTGCTGTCCACAACGTCACCTGTGCAAAGGCGAACCTAAGCCTTTGCTGACCACCGATGACATATCACACGGGACGGCAAAGAAAATAATCAATCGAACTGGTTTCCGCTTTCGTAGTGACGACGACGAAGATAGGTTTCACGTGGCGTTTCACGAGTCGAATCGAGGCGAGGCTAGGCGGTGCCGGTGTCGAGCAGGTCATTAGTTCGTCGTCGGTGGATGGACGGCGACTCAGATTCCACGCAGTGGGTGGTACCGGAACCCGGTCACGAGTTTCAGCGTACAACATGACCACTGCTAGTAGCTGGCTTTCGTTACATGCGCATAAAACTTGTACATACTACAAAGATCAAACGGCGGAAGAGATGACGTGGGTAAGAAAAATCCAAGCACATGCACGTTTGCTGTAAAAAAAGTGAGTGTGAATTTGGATTTTACAGCATAGTGTACGCTCATGTACATATCCGGAAGTTGAACGATGAAGAAAACCACATGAAAAATAGGTGCCTTTAACATCAACACCGGTTCTCAAATGGACGGAAGGAACAAAACTTAATGCAGCGTCAAACAGCACTGGCAGACAAAGCTTGCTTGATACCGTAGCAGATACAACAGTAAGTTGCATCGTACTATGAAGACAAAGGTGGCGTAAATGATGTATATCACAGAAGAAACAACAACCTGCTAAGCTGCTAAGTTGTGAGCTTCAATTTATTGACTTCAGCTCTAGACACAGGCGAGTATTTTCTCTTGCAGCCACAGTAGAGTAAGCAGGCGACTTAATGCAATAAAAGGCATCCACTACCAGTCGAGAAAGTAGGTGTTTATATAAGCCAGCTTTTCGAGGCTGAATTTAAAACCGAAACTTTCGTAGTAGATTTGCTTTTCTCTAATTGTTGCAGCCCTTCTGAGGCCTGTCTAAAATACGACTTTTCTGGGGCCAACGGTTTACGATACACTCATCTTCCAGTTTGTAGTGCGACATTCTAACACTGATCATATCACTGCTTCATCGCTATCGCTGACAACGAGAAATCCTGACGTTATCGTTCGCTAACGGGTCATCAGACATTCACAGCTGTGTTATACTGCAGATGGCTTCTATCAGTATGAGGATGTGTGGCCGAAATCCGATATTCAGAATATTTTTCTAGTTTCATGTAAACAGAACGGAAAGTAGTCGAGCAATTCACAACCCAAAAGCCAACTCTCTGACCAAATTTCCGGAATATCTGGATAATCAGTTTGATGTTGAGTATAAGATCCTTTATAACCTTCATATAACTGGGAATTTCTGACTAAATTTGCTGAGACAACGCTTTAGGATAGCTCTCCTTGAAGCACTGAACTTTAATTAAAATAAGGCTTGCTTTGGCTTTATGCTTATTCCCCATTTCAAACTGTTTTATACAAAAGTCTTATTCCAGTTTGTCCCGTACTACAGCCATCTGCGCATCAAAACTAAGTATTTCCGGCCGTTACCCTTAACCATCCTCTCCAGAACCTCAGCATCTGATGAGCTGAAGCTCTTACCGTGCAATATTCTGGGAAATGAAGATGCATGTACTCCGTTGTTGTGCTTTTTGATTCGTTGATTCTGCGTCATGAAAATGCCACGTCACGATGAAAGCGACTGTGTGCCCAATCGAATAACGTACTCTTGTTCTTCTTTTTTGTCTGTTTATTGTGAATTCCTTGAACCGTTTCATAAGCACAACAGTCTTTTATTTTGATGTTCGAATATGAAAGAACATGTAAGAATATGAAAAACTGTTTAAAGCATACTACATAACGCGAGAAATCTACCAAGTTTCTAGTCCATCTGAGAAATTATCTCGACGACAGATGTTGCTCGTTGACAAACAACGATTCCTGGTTTTTGCCGAACGACTAGCGAGATGTGAATGAACTAACAACACATGCACTACGAAAGCCGTGTCAGATTAAGATAGCAACGCTGACTGGCCGTTTTTCTGCCAAACAAACTTTACGCAGTTCACAGCAAATAGTTCTGGTTGTTTTTCTGCTTCAAAAAGGAAACATTTGCTAATTTTTTGCCTAAGTTGTAACCCAGATTATTTCACCTGAAAAAAACATCCGATAAAAAAATTCAACTGCAATACTAGAATGTTTTTGTACGCAGTTAATTTGGCATAGAGTTGGAACATTCTGCTTTTGGACCCGTCGTAAATGACACAGAGCTTTGTGAGATTTATTTAATTAAAAGACAAGTTAAAATAAGCAATACATGGCATTATGTCCTTCACAACGGGTTCAGAGCCAAAAAATGTCCACATTGCCACCTTCGAATGTGGCTCATGGAGCCTCTAGATTGACCCAAGACCCCAGCTATTCTTGGAAGTTTTGTTCCCGCAATCTGAAAGAAAGGTAGCAAAGTAAGAATACCAGGTCGATAAATAGTTAAAGAATGTTTCGCACTTTCTGCAAGGTTTCAAGCCAAAGTGTCCGCATTTTTTATGGCAATATCCGCAACAGACCTTGGTGGTCCAAGCCGGAACACAATGGTTCAGTCGTGGGGCCCAAGAGCGACATCAGCTGCGGTCAACAACATACCGGCATTAAAATTCAAAGCCAGATCTGTCCAAGCAGGAGAAGGACATCATGGCAAAGAGCTAGCATTTTTCCCACATGTGCTTTTAAAAGACGCATAAAATAGCCTCATGCTGAAGCCAGGCATATAAGCGAGCCTTTCACAGCGCCGATAAATCATAGTAACAAAAGTAAACGCAGATCTGACGTTTGCGTATTTAGCGATAACCGTATTTAATGAATACGTGTCTCGTCATTTCCCGACCAAAGAAGCCATCAGAGCCACAAACTGCATCATTCCCTCTCTAAAGTATCTCGATTCAACTAATATCAAACATTTAACGAAAGATCCGTCCGTAATTTACCACCGAGTCACTGGCCCAAACAAAGTAAACAAAAATCGCGAATCAAGCCTCTTTAACACGACCAGAGCCACGTTTATATACCAACCACCGCCAAATTCGGCCCAGACGCAGTCCTGACGTGTGTAATGAGCGAATTTCGGCCGTCTCATTTGCTTATCGTTTTCCTCTTCTTTTTCTTAGCGCATCATCATGGTACAAAGGTGCATTAACTGTTGAAGTCAACTGCCTGGACAATTTTCGGCCACTAGGCAAATCTTCGGTCACTTCGCGCGGTTTCGGGTCGTTCTCTCTGACATCGCACCACTTTTTCTTTTGTCTTCCCCGGCAATATCAATGTTTAAACCATATTTTCAACGTACTCCACCGGTCTTCTTTTCAAGTGGCCAAACCAACACAGTATGCTTTAGACAAGCGTTTCTAAAACTGGTGCTATTACCCTAGAGTACAGTGCCTCTTATGACGCTGTTTTGGAAGTGGTCCTTTTTGCTGACACCGCACATCCATCTGAGCAATCACAAGTCTGCAAAGTTCAGCTGTCGGTCGTGTCTTAAGGGTAGACAAACAATCCAAACATTTTGTTTTCTCCGACTTTGAGACGTCAGTTATTATGCAAACGATTGAATGAAATGAAAAAGTAAAAAACATAAGCAAAGCAAACAGGCGAGATGGCGCAAAGACTCTATGACTCGCAGGGTCATAGAAAATAAAAGGAATTGGATGAAGGGATGGGAAAAGGCGACAAGACAAAGAACAGAAAAAATCAAATTGCCGCATGATGAAGAGCAGCCCTAAGTTGAATGGGTGAACACAGTGTGGTATCAGCCTCACTACGAAGAACATTTTAAATATGATGATGATTAGGCATATTTATGGTCACGATCACATTCGCAACATGGCAGCCGGACAGCAGACAGGAGTGAAGGACTCTACTTCGTCGAAAGCAAAAAGGGGAAACAACGGCGGACCGTCACGTAGCTCGGATCACCGACGGGGGATGGTCATCACCTGGTACCCTCGCGAGCGGACCAGGCAGCTTTGACGCCCACCAAACGAAGGAAGATTATATGATGAACCAAGAAGAACGCGTATGGGGGGAGAGAAAAGACTCGAACCAGCGAGGGTGTTGCGGCTGGCGCGATTCGTCGTCTATTACTGACCGGAACCAGCGATCCGTGTGATAACGTGGACGTAGCAAAACATCCTCAAAGTGAGGTAGAAGGAAGAGGAGAGACGATTTCTACTTTTCGATAGATATGCCGTTTAGAGTGATGTTAAGTTTGGCATAAAATCCGAAGGGGAAATTCAGCATAAGTAAACAAGGTAGAGAGGGACCTGAATATTCGTTACACTTACCAGAAAAGCAAACAACTTTGTTAGTCTACTTAAATAAACAACTTGTCTGTTATTTGTAAGCACGCGAAGTATGATTTGTTCTGCTATTCACCATTAGTTTAACAAATCTTTTTATAGATGTTCGCATAGAAATGAAGGAACAACCGATAACTCTAACTAACTAATATAATGTCATAATTAGTGTACAGTGCTTGTAAAATTGACCTAATTTGTTTATTCACTCATTCATTTTCGATTACCGCATCTCCTTTCGGGAGGTGGAGGCTGATTTATTTGACTAGTAAATATTAAAAGCTATTCTGTCATTCTCTTCTCAACAACTTCATTTAAAACTAAAAAAATACATCATGCGTAATGAAAAAATGATAAGTTTCTTTGTGCAATTTGCATAGATCCATTTCGCGAAAACCTCAACTTAGCGTAAGCAAAAAAACATATCGAAAGACCCGTTACACAGTTTCATTGTATATCAGATAAACCGTCAAT